TTTCCCAATTTCCCTGAAATTATCTCTTCTTCTGTTTGTCTCAACATGCTCTTTCTAAACTGTCCTCACACTTTCCAAGGCCTTCTGCTTTAGTTTCATGTTTCTCTTCTTTCTTCTTTTTTGTTCTGCAAACTATCTCCTGGTAATCAAATATACTTGCATGCATATATCCAAACACCATTGCTTATAACTTTTAAGTTATTAAGATACTGCAAAGACTTCATTTGTCAATTTTCTTTACCATGGTGTGCTTAAGTCATCACATATTATTCTAATCCCAACAAATGAGAAATGACATTTGAATTACTCAAAATTATATTTAAGATTACTTTGTTGAATCTATAGTTTAGCATTAGCTCATATATTCAAAACTACAGGACAAGTGACTATTGTATTTATTTTTCATTATAAAAAAATTGATGTACCCTTCTATTACATTTTCTCTGACATATCTCATATAGGAAATTGAATTATCAAGTATTACAGTTTTAAAAAATGTTTCAAATCTAGCTACCAAAGTAGATAGAAATCAGATCCAAACTTATGATAAAATTTTACAGTAAATCTAAATAGGACATTTGTAAGTGTAATTTGATGCTATTGATTTTCACATTCAAAATTAAGTCATTGCAAAGAATGAAAAAGTTTATAAATATGTTATAATGCTAATAAATTGAGTGAGAACTATACTGAGAATTTTTTTTTGAGTATAACAAATATGTATCAGTTCATAAATTCACTTTTTTCTATTTGTGTAATACATATTTTAGTCAAAGTCAGAGTGACAGAAATTTATAGCCCTGCAATAGAAAAGGTCACTGGGTAGAAATACTTAAAAAATAGAAAGTGCAGTGAATTTTGAGATCATGCTAGTTCATCCTGATCCTAATGAATTCTATTAAGTGGGAAATAATAGTTCTTTTCTAGTGATCAAGACTGACTGTAAGAGATGAGATCTTATGATCAGAAAAGGGAGCAGTGTTCAGTTTGCCTGCAGGTAAATTGCTTTGTGTTAAACTGAATTCACTAGCTAAAGCAATTCTTTTTCTATAATATTTCCCTTCAGAGGATAACTGCAAATAAGCAAATAACACATGTAGCAAGCTAACAACCAAAGAAAAGGACATAGAATGTTTTATCAATAAAGTGCTGCAACTGTGAAGGTAACTGAATGATACCTGTAACGAACCAAAAATAATGTAATTTTTATTGATATAACCAGAAACATACTTGTTATGGTACTTTGAATTCCTCAAAATTTAAAACTTGAGTAATTATAACTGGAAAATATAAACTGGGGGTGGCCTGTTTTGTGAGTCCTTACGTGGGCACCAGCAACAAAGGACAACAAAATCAAGAAATAGAATATCTTGTTAAAAGAGTTTATTTACATAGGAAATGTGAGGAGAGATTGAAAGGGAAAGAAGGAGACTTATCAGCCAATTCAGTCCTACCAGCAGTTAGCATCAGTTTCCACCACCATCAAAAGGGTAGCAAATGGGACAAGTGGCCACCCCTTGCAGAGAGCACCAACCCCTGCACTGGCTGTGGGAAACTGAGATACCTCTGAGGTCTTCACTCCCAACAGCAATGGCTCAAGCCAAGCAGCAAGAAATGAGACACCTTCAGGGATCTAATATTACATCCTCAGAGTTGTAATGCAAGTGTCTGAGATGGTGTTGGTGAGACAAGGAGGGTGGAGTCGCAAAAGCTCTACTTTCACTATGAGCATCCAGCCTTGCCTGCCTGCTCTGATAGAACTTTGCCTCCTAATACTACCTGCAAGGGTTTACAACCTTGTGATTCATGCACCTTATACAACAGAGAGTAACAGAGGGCTCTCCCACTCTCGTCACTCAGTGAGCTGTCACATTGGTTAATTTTAATCCCAGACATTTATAAATTCAAGGGCTTTGCATTTAAGACACCAGCTTCCCCCTAAGTTTACAGAGTTCCAAACTCAAGCTTTGATACTTCAGGAGAGTTGTGTGCCACTTCAGGGGGTGAGGGGTAAATCTTCCCATACTCCTCTGGGTTTTTCTAGGCTGACAAATAATCAATTACCAGACAATTTGAAAAGAGGAAAGTTATATGTATACCTCTGTATACATGGGAAACTGAGTAAATCAACAAAATAGCCCGAGTCACAAATTAACTATCTTCAGCTAGAAACAAAGGATGTTGGGGTAGGAAAGAGCACAAGGGACCATGGTGATGGGTGCTGGGGTGGTGGGGGAATTATGGGGACTACACATGAAAGGGAAAATCAAATAATATACAAATATGAACAACAATGTAAGAAAATTAAAAAAATAAAGGATGTTGGGCAGTGGGAGGGGGAAGCTCAGTCCTGGGGAGGTCACCAGGAAAGGCACAGTAACAAAGGCATGACCATTATTTAAATGACTAAGATTTAAATAGCAGCCTTAACCATTGGAAGAGTTTAAGAGAATATGTTTTCCTGAATAGTGAGATTCTACCTTTACAAATACAAATGTCTCTTACTAAAGGACAAGTTCCACCCAACTTCAGAGTTCCTTCTATGAAATAATCCTTATGACAAAGAGACACATTTTGAGGGTAGCAGATTTTGTTCTCTATCACTGAGAACTGGAATACACATAGGTACATTTATTTGCATTGCACAATTAATGGACATGGGCCACCTTGCCTTCGTATCATCACAGATCTTCCAGTTCCAAGCAAGGGTTTGCTGCTAGATACACATGGAAGCCAATTAATGTGGCATCAGCTTTGAGAAAAGAAAATTTATTGCAAGGTTGACCAACAAGGTGCTAGGATGCCAGGCTCAAATCTGTCTGCCTGGCCTGAAATGGGCAGGAATAATGTTATTGGGAGGCAGAGGAAGAAAATGGGAGGGAGCGGGGGCAAGGCTAGGAATGAGAGAGCGATGAGTTTAGCACAGTTTGGTTAGTTAGTTACCAACGGGTCCATATATGGAGAGAGCACTGAATTCCTGGGATTTTTGTAGCCAGACCCCTTGCTTCTGAATGAAGTCCAGTCATTTTTCTCTGTCTTCCTGTTTTTATGACTGGCTTAGAATTCAATTTAAAGTCAGTTACTTCTGTGCACACTCAGATTGTCACAGACAAGTGTCAAGTTCTGTTGCCTCTTTGAAGATACAGTAAAAAAAAGGTAGTCAAACATGCTTAACTATTTCAGCTAATGGTGCCTCAGCTCCTACCTTTGATTTACTTAGGGTCAGCAGTCTGATTTCTCATCTATTCTTTCTATTATTTATGACAAAAACTTATGATCTTAGTCCCGCATGACTGACACTCCACACATATTAAAGGATATATGTTGAGGATTAAGCCACTAGGCTCTTGTCTCTAATAAGAGCCCTGAAAACTTATGTTGACATGTAAATTTTTGAGAATCACTTTTTTTGTTCTTTTGCTCCACTGTGGTGATATTTTCATGTAAAAAAGTGAGAAGGAAGGACTTAACTCTGTTTAGGGTATAAGGAACTGTAAGGGGTTGGAAGGGAGACAGTAATTAATGGGGTATCACCACATCATAGCTAAAAGTTCTATACAGGATAAATTTCTGGGTCTACTAGTAAATAGGCAATTTATTTTATTCATTAACTAAAGTAGGCAATTTATTTTACCTGTCTGTGACTGACTTTTTCACCTTATTAGTTCTCATAGCTGTTATATAAAAAATTACCACAAGGGCCTCCCTGGTGGCACAAGGGGTTAAGTTGCAGCACTGTGAAGCTATCCACAGCCACTGCAGCACAAGTTGGATCCCTGGCTGGAGAGCTGAACCACATGGCACACAGACTCTCCTGCCTCGTACACTGCTCCCCTCAGCAGTGTATTTCAGTCAGTCTGCTTGTTCTACTCCCCACTCTGTCTCTGGTAAATCTTCTCACCACTGCACTGCCCCCCCCCCAACCCCCTGCACCTCTGGCCTATATCGCAGCTCTTGTATGCATAAATAAATAAATCTTTAAAAAAAAAATACCGCAAGCTGTGTGTATTAAAGAACAGAAATTTGTTGTCTCATCATTCTGGGGCCTAGAAGTATGAAATCAATTTCATTGGGCTGAAATCAAGGTGTTGGCAGAATCTCCCTCCCTGGGGGGCATTAGTGAGAATTCTCTCCCTTCCACTTTCTGGTAGCTGTCAGCTTCCTGGAACTTGTGGCCATATCACTCCAGTCTCTGCCTCTACATTCACAATGCCTGCTTTTCATTCTATGCTTAGTCTCCCTCTGCCTCCCTCTCAGAGAATGCAAGTGATTATATTTAGGGTCCACACAAATAATCCACGATAATCTTCCTCTTCATAATCCTTAACTCAATTCCATCTGCAAAATACTTTATAGTCATGTAAGGGGCTGTAAGGTTGACCAACCAGGTGAGAGGGGACCAAGCTCAAATCTATCTGCCTGGCCTGAAGTGGCCAGTGGCTTTGTAGGGAGGGAGAGCAAGAAAATGGGAGGGGGACGAGGCATGGCTAGGAATGAGAGCTATGAGTTTAGCAAAGAGCAGGGAGTAAAATATCTTTGGGGGGAAGCCATTACTTAGCCTATAGTAAATTAAATTTGGTTGATGTATGCACCTTCATAAATATTAAATATTATAATACATAAAAATCATATAAAGCAATGTCTAGCATGTAATAAAGTATTCAATAGATGTGATGATAGTAATATCAATGATGATGAAGCTCTAAGATATGTAGACAAAATGTTTTAAAGTGAACAGAATAATGTTTTGAATGAACATATGTAAACATCTAGATCTTTGATATGTGCTGACTTCAAATTTTTATTTAATGGGTTGTTTTTCCACATTAATTTTAACTCAATAATTTAGGCACACGATAGTCAATTTTGGTCTTATTTGTTATTTTTCACTTGAAATTTAAATTATTTCAATTTTATTTATCCTGATGTCTTTCTAAGGAGAAAGTAAAGAATGCAATGTAATAAGATTGTCTTCTGTTCTCTTTCACCCACCCATCTAGGATACAGACCTAATGACGTTCAACATCTCTGTACACCGGTCATGGTGGCGAGAACATGGGCCTGGTTGTGTGCGAAGAGTGCTGCCTCCATCAGCCCATGGCCTGATGGATGATTACACATATGTCTCCGTCACAGACTGCATCATAGACTTCCAGTATCTAGAGGTCATCCACAGCGCTGTCCAAATACTACTGTCTGTAAGTATCACACTTGTGTCATTGTCTGATCAAGATCCTTTTTTACTGGTATTTTATATCTAAGCCTACTCTCCACAGCCACCTAGTAGATAATGTCATAGGTAAGTACATGGAGAACATCCCTTTAAACAAAGGAATTAGCAGCAGTTGTGTTAACATGAGGTGTAGCTAATTGCATGTTATGAGTTTTTCCTGTTGGCATCTAGACATTATGTTTATAGAGTCAGTTGCTGTACTTTCTAACTTGAAATACAATCCACACCAGTCAATGAAATAGTATCACCATCCCCCAGAAGAAGTGCATTGTCCATTTGCTACCTTGGATTTTCTGCCAGTATACTTCCCCTACTTCTACTAATGCATTCTTTTGGGCACATTAGTTCCAGAGAAGGAAGGACTAAAACATACTCAATACCTTGCTCAATCTAATATTCTAATATACCTCATATTTCAAATAATTATTCTTAAAGAACTCAGTTCCCTTTAAAGATTCTTACACATTTTGTGCCTTAAATTTGGTGTCAAAATACAGTTCTTTATAGAGATAAGAGAAATGGTTTGACTGAACCGAAGAAGGTTTGAGGTAGTCATTAATTTTTCTGCGTGACTGTCCCACTCACAAAACTTGATCTGAGTGTGGGGTAAAATTAATTTAAAATACATATCATCATCAAGAATGGTGTTCCTTCGACATCCAATAAGGACCTGGCATTTTCTGTGAGTAAATGTGTCTACCACACTATTCACATAAACCACAACCGTCTTAGTCTTCCTGCACAAATGGTTAAAGTTAGAATCAGAATTATAAATAGAAGCTCAATAATAAATGATAGATGACAAATATATAGGAGGTATACATCAGTGAGGACTGTACCTTGGAATTCTATAAAGAACAAAGAAATCCTTGCTGCCACTTACTGTATCAATTATCTACTGCAATGTAACAAACAACTTCAAACAGTAATAACTTAAAACAATATAAATGTATTTCTTAGAGCTCTGTGAGTCAGGAATTTGGGCACCTGATATTGACTAGAGCCACTCATGTGGACCTTCAATTAGGAACTCTGTGAGGATTAGAATATTCAGGAAGACTTAGCTCATATGTCTGATGCTTGTTGTTGGTCTGTGGTCTCCTTCATATGGTTTCTCTTTTTGCAGAAAAAATTGACAGTGTGGCACTGAGTTCTAAGAGAACATTTCAAGCATTTATGAAATCTCCTTAGAGTACTCCTTACTATTGTCCCATTAATTACAATGAGTCATATGATCAGGCCAAAGTAAGTGTGGGAGCAGTCTCGGAAAAGAAGGGAACCCCAGAAGGCATGATACATTAAGGACCACCAAAATAGCAGTCTTGCCTGACTTACATAATTATTGATTATTTTTCTTTAGACTGCATGTGTCATATTTTATTTTTTTTTAAAGATTTTTTATTTATTTATACAAGCACTGGGTACAGTCAGAAGCGCGGGAGGGTGAGAGAATTTACCAGAGCCAGAGCTGGGAGCAGAGCAGGCAGAAGGACCGAAGTACACTGCTGAGGGGAGCACCGGGCGGCAGGAGAGGTCTGCGCGCCATGCGGGACCCTCCTCAGTTGGCCGGGGAGCAGCCAGGGATCGAACTGGTGCTGCAGAGGCTGCGGGCAGCTTCGCAACCCAGCGCTCAACCGCTGAGCCACCGGGGAGGCCCCATGTGTCATATTTTAAAAGAATGTTTTAGAGCACATTTGAAATATAATTTTCTAAAAAGACTGCAGAATAGACTAAAAAAAATCAGAGATCCCTCAGTGTTTTAGTTCATTGAAGGGCAATTGATAATGAATTAAAAGAGGATGCACTTCAATGCTAAAAAAATTTCTTTTGGGCCTCCCCGGTGGCACAGCAGTTGAGTGCTGGGTTGCGAAGCTGCCCGCAGCCCCTGCAGCGCCAGTTCCATCCCCGGCTACAGGGTGAGGGTCCCACATGGCGCGCAGACCTCTCCTGCCACCCGTTGCTCCCCTCAGCAGTGTACTTCGTCAGTCTGCCTGCTCTGCTCTCCCCTCTGGCTCTGGTGAATTCTCTCACCCTCCCGTGCTTCTGACTGTACCCAGTGCTTGTATAAATTAATAAATAAATCTTTAAAAAAATTTTCTTTTAAGTATAGGGATTCTCATTATTCTTGATCTTTCTCAGTTTTGTAAGTATAATATACTGGCATTTGTTAATTATGCTTACCAGTCTTTCCATATTCTGTAATCTTTATTTAATCTATCAATTACATGTGTGGCAAAATATTTGTTCAAATCATTGTATTACTAAATAGGAGGCAAATTTTCTGTTAAACCTTTTCAGTCCATTTTAAGGTAAAAGATACTCTATTATATACCAGACGATAAAATTTCTTACTAATAATTTTAAATATTGAAAACATTTTTTTTCTAAAATCTGTCTTATATGAACAATATTTCCCCCTTTTGCAAAATGACTCACAGTAAATTGTTAAACCGTTTTGTAAAATGATGCCATGATGTCCAATCTGTATAACACAGCAGAATAAGCTGTGGAATCAAAACATCATTTTCCCATCTGACTTATATGAGTTCACCCATATGTGATATATAGATAAAATAAATAAATGAATGAAGAAAATAAAAACAAACTTTCAGACTATAAAACCAATTAGCAATCCCCAGAGGGAAGGGGAAAGAAGGCTGGGTAAATTGGGTCTAAAGGGAAAATTGCATGGTGAGGATAGAATTGGAGTTATAGTTGTGAACTGAAGTAATATATATATATATGTCTGTTTTGGAGGATGTACACCTAAAACCTACATAATATTATAATACAATGTTACTTCATAAAAATAGAACAAAATATTTAGAAATTTACCCATAACAAAGGTCCTTTTACCATTGTAACTCTAATTCAAATGCATCACAAGGTGAAAGTATTTATTTGAGAATAAAAATCTGTGCTAAAGAGAAATGCTAAATAGAATATGTTGCCCCTAAAAATACTAGTTACTTATAAATGAATGCCTTGGCATATTAGTTAAGTGAGTACCCAAAGCTTCCCACATGCGTACATAATCCTGACTACTGTTTAGCCCTCTGGCAATAAAAGTATTAGTTGCTGAGCTTTGATGTTTCTTCAGTAACCAGTAACGTACCTGCAAAACAAGATTTCCAGTATTTTATTTTTTCACATTAAAATAAAAGTTATCCTGAAATTGTTTCACAAATGTCAAAGCATTATTGTTGTGCTTGATTTTATGTGAGTCTGTTAGGTTTTCCATTTATTCATGTGAATATGTTTAAAATGATTAGAATTATGATTCTTTGAATCTGATGCTGTAGGAATATCAGCTGCCTTACATGTACAGTGATGTCAGCCTATCACTGAAGAAAAAAGTAATGGTTTCAATATTATTGCCTGTTCTACACAGGCAACAATGAAGCAAACAAACAACAGCCTTTGAAATGGGGCAGGGTCCTCTCAGCCTGGCTCCACCAATTACTCCTTTAATTGATGCAAGCTTGGCAACCACTGGAAGGACACAGCGGGGGACTGATGGAGGTGCCAGCGTGGTGGAGAGGGAGTTCCTTAAGGTTTGATGGCAGTGGCTCTCTGAAAAATAAGAAAGGAACATTTAATTGATTTATCTATGCACACAGCTTGGCTGGTGAACACTACCTGTTCCATTGTCCTGGGTAAGATTAGATGTTGGAACTGGAAGAAATGAAACCCTACTTTCATAGTTCTACAGGAACTATGACAAGAAATGGGAGAAACTATTCTGATAAGAATTTGGGAAAAAAAGGTGATGGGCCATGAGCTTACATGGGACAATCATACAAGATGTCTGTGCCCATTCAACTGATGAGAGATCTGGCCACCTCCCAGCACTGAAGTCCCTGCACAGCAACAATTTGCCTTGGTCTTCTTTCACAGGTGCTCGGAGTAAGGAGAAGAAAGATTGAGCATAAAAAAGGTTCTTATTGCTCATGCAAATTGTTAGCCTCACCAAGTTGAAATTCAGGGTGGTATTAAAAAAAAAAAGTATGAGAGAAGGGACAAAATTCAACCCATAGAGGAAATAAGAACTCAAAGATATATCCAGGATCAGGCTGTAGGGTGATCAGTTCCTTCCCTCCATCCTCACTGCCTGTGCCTTGGTTCATCTGCTCACCATTCCCACGTGAAAGATAGCCAATAAGCCTGTAGTCTAACCAATCCTAGATCTGACCAACCATAGTCAATTACTCATGCCCTGGCTCCAAGGGGCATGATTACCAACAGCAAATCCAGTCACTTTCCTTCTCAATACCTTTAAATATAACCATCAACTTTGAGTTGAAATCTACTTTAGTACTTTGTCATGTGAAGCCCTGATGACCTGTTCCCTGCTTGACTCACACCCTAATCTCCTCACTCCTCCGAAAGTATTTCATCTGCCACCTCTACAGCACGCATTCCAAAAGTAGGCCAGGCACACTAGACTCAGCACTCTGCTTGAAATGAGCTCTGCACCCTCCACCTCCCTCTTACCCCTCCCTCAGCTCTTCATCCACCTGGTCATGGTCCACTAGTAAACAACTTACCCCCAAAGTTTTAGGATATGTTAATTTAATTTCCATTAACCTCCCAAATGCATGAACATGAAATCTTTTATAAATAAAAAGCCAAAAGTCATATTTGCATCACATCTAACAAAGAATCATTATCTATAATACCTGGTGAGAAAATTTAAATATCAATATCATGAAAATTTACTGAATCAATGAAGAATATGAACAAATATAGCCAAACAAAAGAAAATCCAAATTGTAAGCAAAGTATAAAATATGACTTTTCTTGATAATCACTTGATATGTTCAAATTGAATTTTAAAGCTTCACATTCAACAACTTTCAAAAAATAATAACTCATAATATTGATAATAAATTGTACTTTTGATAAAGATATTCTTTATTGCAAGGATCATTAAAATGGTCTTACCTTTTAGTGCTTTAACCCCAC